CGACATTCGAGATATCACAATACACTGCCTGGACGTGAAACACCGCTCATATGGTTACTGAAAACTCCCCGTTAGCCAATGACCAGTTTTGTCTTTTTGGAGACTCACGGAGTTACTGTCAGCCGTATGTTCTACTTTAACCCAGACTGGACGAAGTCTTCCAAATTCTCAATTCCACGCTAATTTGGTTTTGACAGGAGAATCAACTGAATCCAGCTGAATATTTTGTTTATAAGGAGTGAAAACGATCGTGGGCGGTGAAGGATCAGTGTGTTACGTCCGAAGGATCTTCATCTTTTTTCCGTGTGCGCCTACAATGGTTTTCCCACTCATCAGTCCGTAGTGCGCGAATTCGCTCTCCAAACAAATCCCACAAAGTTATTCTCCTCTGACCTACATTTACACGATCAACTATTATCCAAGTCACCTATCCCGTAACACAAAATTTCCAAAACACGCTACTCCCTGTACGTGGGCAACCTATTCCTGAGATCTATGCAGCTTGGGTCAAGTGTTTTACACCAGGAGCTGCTGGCAACGTGTCGAAATTTGGTAGCTCGGGTGATTTCATCGGATGTTGATCAGGTGGTTATTGATCAGTTCGCCGAGCTTGGCAGTTGCCAGGAGTTCTAACCACTAGGACAGCTCGAGATAGCTCAGCGGTTAGAGCGCAAGCGTACTGATCGGGAAGCCGATGGCTCGAATTCAACCTCAGCATCTCGACTGATCCTATCTAGGCCCTTGTGCTTCCTTCAGGTGGCATGGCAGCTAGGCACCGAAAGGGCAAACGACTATCATTTTCATTCTAGCCACTGACTTTCCATCTTTACTTATTATTTATTGCAAGTGCAATGTGAGAGAAGAATTAAATCATAAATCCTAAGCGAAACTGGACAAAATAGATGAAAGCATATCTCAGCTTCAGACGCACGCTAGAGTTCACCACTACTGAACTCCAGTATACGAGATGGAAAAACCATATATTGTTTCCAAAGCAGATTGCAGCTAAGCTAAGCTCTCGCATTCCAACAACGGCCCATAGACTAGACAAAATTTTGCAGTCAGTCTTGACACGTTCACCCACATCGACAATGGTATAAAGCTTGTGGGCAGACAACCATCAAAAGTTGTTATCGACCCATCATTTTGAGCGTACAAAGAAATGCGAGGAAGAAAACGAAAAGAGTAATACAACCAAAAGATAGGCAATCGAGTAGTCTGTACTTGGTTACGATGTTGTCCATGGAATTAATAAAGAGAGACAATATCTGCTGACCTCTGTCATAGGTTCAGTTCAGCTAAACAGTCATACAATGTTCTTAAGGTAGGTTGGTTCCATCTGATACAATCTCGACCAGCAAAAAATGAGAGAACATGGAACGAATAGCTTTGAATTGAAGGAGAAGACGTAATTCGTCAACGGACATTAAGCTATCCTAGTCTTTCGATGAAGTGGAAAACTGGCAGCTACACCTTGAAGCTGGATCGTTAGTGGCTGTGTGACCGAATTGCATGTCAGTGCTACTCACCAGTAATGTGTGGAGTCGGAGGATCATCAAGTACCTTGCACTTGTGGACACGACTAAGTCTACTTATCACCGCTTTCGTACTTGGTTACCAGACGAGACTGTCCGTCTTTCGGCCGTTTCTACCCCGTAAATAGTCCAGCTGTTGCGCCCTTTGGCGCACAGCCACGCCGAAGCACGTACGAGAGCTAAGATACTGGCACGTTGCCTAAGCCTGGACAGGAACCATTGAAAAGCCATGAACCACAGACTTTCAGGCCAGCAGTTTTGCGCCCTGACTGCTGAATTATTTAGCGCTCACCTCCAGTAATCGGCTAGATAAAAATATCTCTGTGAGGTCCACTGATGTTCGAAGCAACGGCATAATCCATAGAGTTCCATCTTCATGAAGCCATTTAGCGTAGCTCAGCGTTACTATTGGAATATGCCCATCAGACGACGACGATGCTTTGGAGACGCTAAAAGTTACACACTAAAAAGTTCCGTACATATTCCACCTACAAAACGGCAACGACGGTGTTCAGTAAAGTATGGTAGAACCTCTCAAGAACGACGGAACCAGTTAAAAACGGTACTGGGCTGAGACGCCACAGAGAGTGCTATGACGTACCGACTGTCTATGATTAAACATGTAACTTCATCCCTAAACTTAGAAGTGAGCAAAAATCTATGGTGTAGGGGAAGAGAATGCCTACGTGAGCTTTATGCTTGCTAATTCTAAATGGAGTACCACATCGCAGTGACTTCAGCTGGTTATAAAAGGACACAAGTGGTTTCTGAAGGATTACACAATAATCCCGAGCAACTAGTCAAAATTGTGATAATATGCAAACAAAATAAGCTATCAGGATCATCGGGTAACCGATTTCATGCTCAGTTAACAGAGTATTGATAAACTTGAAAACACAGTAACAGACTGAAAGAAACTAGCCGTTCAGTCTCCTTCCGACCCGAATCGTCCTCCGTCAGATAATACAAGGCAAACAAGTTCGTAGTGTAGTCATATGCCATGTACCAGGTATGTAGAACTCGCGAAATGTATCCGTCGACTGGGATATACCGTCTTCGAAGAGTTGAGAGCACCTACTTCGACGTCCTTCATCAAACCTGAACTAATCGCTGTTCGAGATCGCCGAGCAACTGTAAAACGTCAGCATAGTCTCGGATTGGCACGGAGTGACTGTGTGGAATGAGAAGTAGCAGGAGTATGGTGCCGATGAATATTTTCTCACAATAATCTCAGCCCTATGTGCAATAGGTTGTGATGTCGACTTTTTGATCATCTCTTATCGAGAGATCTGCTTTCCTCAATCCGCCAAGGCTGTTATTGGACTCGGACTTCCTAAGGTCGCAGTCAGTGACTTGTGTTTGCTTGCCATTGTGGGCTCTCTGCGTACTTATGACACTTTTATGCACGGCACCACGCGTTGAATATACATGTTTGCCATTTTATCTCACACCAGACCCAGTATAACGGACACTTTGTGCCTGATGTGCGAGTTTTGATTGTGCTAGTGCCTACCGTGCTTTGAAGAGCATTCACCATTGTTTGTCCTTTCTTCGGTTGTTGGTCTTTAGACGCGTGTTTCCATATCAAAATCTTTACATACTTTGGGATTCATCTCATCTGAATGGAACTGTTAGTGCCATGAATTCGAATGAGACGTTACTCTCTTTTCTCTCATATGCTCCTGTTGCCCTTTCGCATTCATGGCTTGCATTCATTCTTTATGTTTGTGACCATGCTCTTCAAAAATAACTGATAATAGTTGTAGTAAATATGAGTGCTAACAACCGATTCACCGATTTAAAAACGCGTTCTATGTCGTATCCCGATTCGCCGATCCTGTTGCCCTTTCACATCCATCGATAACATTCACTTTTTATGTTTGTGGTTTTCAAAAATAAATGATAGTAGTTATTCCACATATATTATCTACCGTATTTTTTCCGAACCGCTAAGGGCATCCGAAGCACACGCCCATATGATATATTTCACGAAATACGTGCTACATTTCTCTTGGTGTGCGTGTGAGTTCTGAGCTGAGGCGTTGTGAAATTTTAAAAAAACACTATCTAACAAGAGTAGCATGATATCGCCAGGACAGCGATCCAATTTAACAGCCGTATGGGTACGAGTGGGGTTCACAGATGCTAAAAAGGCCGATTGAACTCTGGTTCAAAGACCGATGCTTTACATGTCATCTGATCTGTGCTAATCACAAACGGATAGACAGTACGAAAGCGTGTTAAGGAAATATGCTAACCGAGGCGAGATGGCTCAAGTGGTTAGAGTGCAAATTTACTGACCGGAAGATCCGTGGTTCGAACCCGACCTCTGCCTTTCAACTTCCCCTGTCTAGGCTTGGGCAACCTGAGTATCCCAGCCCTCGTGCAACCTTCGGGTGGCACGGCAATTAGGCACCGAAAAGGTGTTACAGCTGAACGATTACGATTATTGTTATGTCAACCAAAACTTGCTTGCTCTAGAGGGCTTAAATTTTCCAAACGAATTTCTTTGAAGAACTTAATGCTATATATTTAGGTAAAACCGTAAAAGATCAAGACGTTGCGGCTGGAATCAATCAATCAATCAATAATCAATCGGATCTGAGGAGATCTTTGCAGGCGGAGACTCGTTACTTCCAGCGTAAAAATTCATATAAAAATGTGTCAGATGTGGTCGGATAGGACAGAGTACACAGTATGCGTCCTAAGAGAAATTGAAGGTGGCTCATAAAAACAGCCACCCCAGAGAGGCTTGTCAGCACATGTTTACAATCGATGTCTCGCTGTGGCAGCTGGGATCCGGTAGAATGTTGGATTTTATTAGTTTCGAAGACCTACTGTTCTCGGTTAAGTAGGTTTAGCGGACAAATTCAAACAATTCAACATGTACAAAACCCAAACTGAAAATGTTTACCAATCTCAATCTCTGACCGCTTGTCTTAAACTTGTGACCAGGTCATCTGAAAGATGGGACATTGGCCTCGAAAGCTTGCTTTTTGGGACTATTTGCAACTAGTATCTCCTGAACACTGTCGAGGATTTCTGTGTGGGTGATTACTGGATTGCTCCCTTCCCTTAGACATTTTGTGCGCATATTTGGGTGGATGAAGAATTCTTCATATTTCAGCTGCACAAGCAGGCGCTTACTTTTTATAGACGTTTAGCGGACGTCTCATTAGAACTGATATGTTACTACAATCTTGAGTGACCCTTCTGAACATTCGAATTATCTACAGCCTATAACAGGGACAAATCGAATCTCTAGATCGGGAGGGTGAATCGCAGTACAAACTATCTAATCGAATCCACAACTTTGGTTACAGTGAAGCAAAATGGCATCCATGCGTGTTCTAAATTCCTGTGTGAAGTGCATGCCAACTTTGGGAGCTATAATTCCATCGCCTCCGACAGCCATGGTCCACGTGATACGAAAAGGTGCCAATACAGTATGGTAATGAGACGTACTTTGGTTGTTTTCGGATGTTCACGTGGTCGGTCCCACTGGTAAATGGAATCTGCACGATTCTCATAGTAGAATCGCTTGGTGCTTCTAAAATACGCAATCATTGAGAAGAGCATGGAAGATGGGCATACCTATCCCAGTGACAGCTCCAAGGGCGTGGAAGGTTCGAGGAAGCGTAATTTCTCAGTTCGGCTTCCGCTTCTCTAAGTTTTTGCCAAAAATAATTAGAGGAAAGCTTGCCACAGAGCCAGTCTTCGAATCGGGTCTAGTCGGGAAGAGGAAACAGGACGTATAGTCAAGTAACGGACCGAGGGGTGTTGGAAATCAAGATCAGATAGGTCGATTAACCAGACTGGTTGTAATGAAAAAAGTCTGAGAGCTTCAAACCCAAGGAACGTCTAAAAACGTCCGTGAGTGGTACCCTGACAGCAACTGACGAAGTCAACTAGAAAACTAACAGGTTGCATATCAATGGTTTTACGCAGCTCATTGATAGAGTGACAAGAGAGTAGGCGAGCAAGCGAACTTGCCACACACACCAACTGGACATATTCTAGGCATATTTTCCAGTATGTTTATGGCAAATAGTAAAAACAGTGAAAGGTTGATCATGCTGCTGTCTGGGATATTTGTACTACCACCAGGCCTTACGTGGCTTGTCATTCTAGGTCATTTTGGCTAAATTCCCAGGAAGTCACAGCACGTTATAAACAACCCTTCAGTGAAGGTCGGTCGTTGTTTGTCGAGACAACAAGGAAGTCACAGCACGTAATAAACAACCCTTCAGTGAAGGTCGGTCGTTGATAACACGATCTTCTATCGCTTTACCCTGTCTTTGCGGTGTACTGAAAACCTGTGACAACGGACCCTCCCATTCTATGTAAACGACTAACATGCGCAATGGAAGAGAGACGCTGAACCTATTCAGAGCCTCTACTGGGTATTGAAGTGGCCGACCTAGGATTCAAGGTTTGTGCGGCGAATCAAAGAAAATGAATGAAAATGACCCGTTGTTGTCTTGTCGAGACATTAGTCCGTTGTTGTGTCCAGTATGGTCATCCGATTCTGTTTGAAATTGCATTTTTATATGAAATAAAGGACAATAAGTGCCAGTCTAGTACAGTCCCAGTACTGGTCCATCGACACAAACAAAAGGATCCACCTGTTAACGGAACCGAATCGTTTGAGCTCACACATCAAACCTCTCACTCAAGATCATGTATCTGGTGACAAGGAGCACCGAAAGACGTTACCCATAAGTAATCATCATTAGTGGCAAAACAAGATCGATGGCTTATGCAATCTGTGTTTTCTAGATACAATCACCCATAAATGTCACGATGTTCATCTCAGTGTCCCACAGCACCGAATTCTCCCAAAATTCTACTGTAAAATGGAGTGGATGGCGAAATAAGACGATAACACTATACATAAGTATGACACTGTTAAAACCAAAATACACTGACAACAGTTTAACGAAATAAGTATGCAACCGGTTTGAGGGGGAAGTTTACATAGGAATCTCCCAAAGAGATGGTCACGATTAGAAAGCAGTGGTAAGTCTCTCGTGGGTGTGACCGTTTTCCAAGGTGATCACACACTGCGAAACGCTGTCATGAATTCTATGGGGAAACGAACCACTTTCGGAGGGTTGGTGTACATAGGAGGGATGCTATAAAGAGGACGAAAACTATCGGAGAGCAGATAGTAGTGGACAATCCAGTGGGGACTGTTCATTACTAAGACTCCTACCGGAAAAGTGTCTATTTTTCGACCATCTTTGTTGCCATAGACAGCAATACCAACCCTGGTGAGACACAAACATACAAGGATTATCTAAAGAGTGTCTAATAGGGAAACGCTAATGACCGATGCAAGCTGAACGCAGTAGTATGGTGATAACGCCATGATAACGAGTTCACTGAGGTTTCTGGATGTTAATTCACTTGACAGATGGATGGCTGCAGCAATTATTTCATTCTAGGACAGTAAAAGTTGCCATTCCCTTGGTTTACCATTTGGCGACTATCTTACGCAGAGCGATGAATCTCAGTCACCCTAGTCACTTAGAGAGCCACATTGTGAATGCTTTCTGGTGTAGTGGCCTGCGTATGGTGGTGCCAGTCCAGAATCCGGTTTGCAAACGAAATGCCTAAGCCACTGTAGTTAGTGTCATTGGCCACTCTATGAAAAGCGTACGAAAGTGTGATAGTGTCCTGTGATATAAGGCAAAGACGCGCTGCCTAGCTGCCAGCTACTTAGTCTGTCTAGGTCGCCAGTCACAAGCCCATACGGGTTCGACGGTAGGGTGGTAGACTAGAAGCCTTGTTTAATGTCTGATGGAGCTGCATGGTTTGGAAGGGAAAGGAACCAAGTTGACTTAAGGATTCCCTGTTGTAACCAAGTTGACTAGGCTGAGGGCTGTGTTTTGGGGTAGGCTTGGCCTTCTTCCGAATTTTTTTTCGTAAGCATCACCCATCCTAATTAGGACCACACATTTTCCACTGGGTAAGGCTGTGGGAAATGCAACCGCTAAGTTAGTGTACCAAGGGACTGGCAGTCTAGAGAAACTGTAACCTAATCGCACAAACGTGACGTGAAGTGTATACACCGCTTTTTCAGAGATTTTTGAAGTCTCAAACGTTCCGCTACACTTGTCCTTCCATGTCTTCTAATTATCAAATAGTTTCTCCCACCAACCTCGACTGCATACGTCACACACGAACGTGCGTTTTGTATGCCTTGCAGCGCTACAGCGGTCATTTCAGCTTCCTCCATGCGCACACAGAGTTTCTCCCACAACCTCGACTGCATACGTCATACACGAACGTGCGTTTTGTATGCCTTGCAGCGCTACAGCGGTCATTTCAGCTTCCTCCATGCGCACACAGACGAGTAACTATCCGGTGGAGGGCGAAACGCGGTTCCGCAGTGCGAAAAATCAACTGTACTGACTGGTACGCTCCGGTTCAACTTCCCTTGTTTGCGGAGTCAGACCAGCAACAGAGCCATATCATGAGGTGCAGCATAGGCGTACGTGGTGATCATGCTTCCTAACAAATACAAGGGAAGAGGGGATGATGTCAGATCACAACAAGTCGATACCGAACTGACTGTAAGGGATTGTTCCAGTATGAATGAGATCACTTCTGCTTCCCCACTTCCACTTTACCAGACGCACTTCAAACCTCCAAATTCTCTAAACCAATCGGTACGAAGATACAGGGAATATCTTCCAGGGCTCAGGCTTGTTGCCCAATTGTGCTATTTTATCAGTAAGCCACCTTGTGAAAACCATGACGCTCCAGTTGCAGCGCACTTACCGCCTCTGCAACCAGTTAGGGGGCAAAGTCTCTGTTCCCTAGAGTTCGAAAGCATTCCGTGAAGGGGACGTACTCTGATGAGCTATGGAGTTTTTTACAACCCTAAGGACAGTGTGATCGAAACGCTTACCAGATCGGCTGATTGGTTGAGTCAATTGAGTAAACGGGGTCCACAAGTGCAAAAATAAAAACAGAATCAACTCCTATGTGCTAGATATTTACAGATGATAGGAGAACACACGAACTATCATAAGAGATCCAGACATCCAATGGAACGTCTCAGATTGTACGAGTAGAGGATATGTGATTGCGACTTGCTTTGCTCCTGTGATGATTCAGGTTACCGGTTGATAGGCCATTTTGTGTGGAACCACAGGAGCAAACAACAGCAACAACCAACAACCGTTGAGCTGCAGCATCTTTTCGGTGCCTAGCTGCCATGTCATGTGAAGAAGGCACGAGGGGTGAAATACTACCAGGTTACCCAAGCCTAGACAGGAGCAGCCGAAATGCTGAGTTTGGGTTCGAACCATGGACTTTCCGGTCCGTAAGTTAGCGTCTTAACAACTGAGTTATCTCGAGCTCCATTCGAAATGCGTTTTGAAGGATGCGAGGAACTGAATACTAACTGGAAAGCTATTTTGGACCACTTGGTTGCGCAACCTTCCTGGTTCCTTTGCGTTCAGTCAGGAGTAGCCTATTTGTGACATTTAAAAAACTACAAAGGTTACACAAGCTGTTTCTGAATAGTAATCTTAAGGAAGGGTTTCAGGACCCAAAAGCAATAAGTACCACTAGGAGCAATTAAATGCCTTAAACGACTTCATATCAACCGAAGCCTGTAATGAGACCAACGTGTGAATTCGGTCAATCGGCATGCTTGTTTTGATTCTGTTCAGCTATGTTCATGCCTAAATGCCTCTAATATTGTGTTCAGTGAGATGAAGCCGAAATGTTAACGACTCGTGATTCATCTTCTGATTGCCTTGGTCAAAATCTAACAACCCAGGAAAGCGAAATCTCAAGGGCAATAAAAAAGCACGTTTAATCCACTGCCATAAAAATTACAGTCAGGGTGACGAGGATACACGAGATAGTACACTTTGTGTTTCCCGCACCGACAACCACATTCAAAAAAGAAACCAAAGTTGCAAAAAAAACTTGTTCGTTATCGTTTTCCGTATTGACATGAATGGACAAAAAACCGGAACGAAATCTGAGAACATCTACGTCCTATCAAAAAAAAGACTTGACTCGGTAAGAAATTATTTTTCCCTTTTCCTTAAATCCCAAATATACTGTGAGTCTGCACCTGCTGACTGAATGAGGGTGTTAGGGCGATTTCCAACCTACACCAACCAATCCACTTCGGTCAGTCCAGACGGAATCTCTTCTCTTCCTTCACTGAGTGATAATCTGCCTTGTAGTCTGCCTCGCCCCGTACCGTGAGTCATCGGGTCATTCGGATCAATGACAGCCACCTTATACCATCTACGAAGACTCCCTCCATTCAGCTTGGTACAGATGTGGTTTTTGGACTAATCTCGATGTCACCGATTTGTTGGTCAGTCCGATATGTGAACATCTATCATTTTTCGATGCACTTGTGATCCTAACTCATCTGAAGCGATTCAGGAACTGCTTTAAAACAGTCGAATGGGTCACCTACATATGTTGCCGTTCCGTTTGACAGGAACTACCATAGCCCAACGTATGTGACCAACTCACTTTGAGCTCGAGACAGCTCAGTAGTTCAGACGACCGGAAGATTTGTGGTTCGAACCCAACCCTGGCACCACGACTGCTCCTGTCTAGACCAGGGGTAACCTAGAACTATTTCAATCCTTGTGCTTTCTTCAGATGGCACCGCAACTAGGCCCCGAAAGCGAGTTACAGCTGGACGATTATCATTACTATTACTAGACACTATTGTATTGTGTCCCCACGTGAGAAGTGAATACGTCTAACCAAAGGACGCGACACTTTGGTTGAATTTTTCTTCTTTGCAGGTAGTGCAGCAAATTACTCCATGTGGTGGATGAGTTCGACTGATGTGAACAGGATTTGTGTGGGTACAAACACCACTTCGTTGAGTTTGCACGTGAATGCGTTTAATAAGACGGTTCCATTGCCTTGAGTCCACCAGCGACCTTTGGTCACTAGTGAGTTGATTTGGACTCCACGTATTACATTAATCGAGCATAAAATTACCATTCCAAAAGTCAGCGACTGGCAACTCCATCATATAGTTTTTCATAAACAATTGTTCCCCACGAAGAAGACTCATCACCCTCTAAAAAACAGATCACAAACCCTCCAGCTGGACTATCCAGGCGAGGACAACTATACTTCATTTTAGATGTTCTGTATTGCAAAGATTTGAGGGAACATACTACTCGGAAGCTCATAGGGTGTATCAGTGTAGAGTGTAAACCACTCACCATTAGTTGTATGTAACGTGTCCGAAGAGCATCCAGCGAGTCTGAATTAAACTCCAAAGCGGTGAACTGATCGAGCAGAGTTCGGGCCGACGCCTCCAAAGCTGATTTCTTTGGTCTGTGCTGCTGATTCTATGAGCAAAACGGGTGCAACAAAGTATAACAGGAAGGAAATAGACAACAAATGGTTGTATTACAACTTGGAAACAAAATATCAACTGGTGAACTGTCGAGCTGTGATCTAGGTTGGAAACTGAAATGCAACAAGCACCGAAAGATAGATCATCACAACAAACCAGAATGTGTAGGTACTTCTAGTGAAGATAACAGGAAAGGCTATGCCACTGTCCAGGAAGTGCCCCCTCAATGGATTATTGTACATGTTAGCCCCAGAAACCAGTTTCCTCACGAACAACGCGATAGATGATTGAGCACTTTATAGTACTCCATTGACCATCGACCCGATACAGTGATATTTCACAAACGAGGTTGAATTATTAGGTTCCTTTTATGCCAAACACTAATTTTCCGGAATGATTGAGTTCAGTGGGATGAGCGGATGCAAGATTTGGAAATATAGATTGTTTCAAGCAGAATGATGCCTTGCGGTCACGGAACATAAGGGTTAGCCAAAAGGAGTCAGGGTGATTCACATTCATTTTACAAAAAGGACAAAGAACCGAAATCCGTGAGTTCAAATTGAGACGAAACAAATGTGAAAATTCCTAATCTGGCCATTGAAGGTTGATGGCGGCCAAAATTATGATTGAATTCAGTACAATGCCAACACCGGTTGAATTTGTTTGACCACCTATGTAATATATGATAAAACATGACTGGGTCAATAATTGAGTCCAAACTAACGGAAAGCGGTTCAACCTGGATCGCTGAGTCTATCGAAAATATCATTGATTGGGCGTCAACGGGGGATGGTGTATCGATCAACCAACCAACGAAAGAAGCCTTTTTAGACAAGACGTTTTGAGTCCCGGAACTTCGCGAAGCTCAGTAAGCCCTATATTTCGATAGCTCTTGTCTAACTTTAGGAAACTCGGTATCAACTCAGCTCACACGTTTCCTGAGGCAAATGCATGCCGAAATGCATGCCAAGAAAATGAATATCACGTATAAGTAGGGAAACGCCTGGTTCGTAGGAGTGAAGGGAATGGGAATCCTACCCCTATTTCACGCTATCGGGATTTTAAAATGATGAGGTTGCAAGGCCGGTTGCAGTCCGATAGCTGTATAGTACAAATTTTCGATGTGTAGCTGATTTCTCGTGGGATGTGTTGATCATCATCATCATCATCAACGACAGTTGATAGAAAAAATAGATCTTTCTCAGTGACCGCCAACATAACACAGTAAATCCCGTGCTAACCGTAAACTTACTTGGCAAGCCCAAGTAGGTGAGGGGCTTCGCTCAGTAGCGGACAAACGGTTTGGAGGGAGAGTTGGGCCGATAAAAGATTGGTCTTGTGAAGTGGAGTCTGGTAAATGATTTACTGGAGAAGATGCAGATAAACTGAAACCGCTTGGTTGGTCCGGAGTGTGCGTGGTCTCATGTATCTCTGTGACTTTTACAGAACGACTTTTGCTCTCCCGATCGCTGTCTGTATCTGAGGAATCACCATATCCAATGATCCCAGATAGTCCGTCAAGCCCTGATGTAGGCTGCTCAGATGACTCATTCTTCTTGGTGGAATTTTGTCGCGTCCGTGGGGAAGAGAGTGTTGGTCCTCCGCCGGAGTTTGTCTGTTGTGAATTAACAGCCTCATCGTCGGAGCCACCGAGAAACGCGTCGAATGTGGATAAATAGCGCTTGTATTCTTCAGGCATTACCGAGCTGATCTCCCCCGATCGAATGTGATGATAAGTGGATGACTTGGTGATTGGATCTAACCGAACGACCCACTCGCATCCAGGAGCTAATAAAGATGAAGATAGTGAGCACGGAGAAACAAACACAAAGTGAATTAGCAATGGGGTATGGCGGACAAATGGTAATTATTTGAAAAGCGATAGGTCCAGTATTGTTGCTCTAGTGAGCGACTCAAGCCGAACAAAGCATTTGAGGAATGCCCACAGTCAGTCAGCACTTATCATCACGCAGGGCTATCTTGTCACCGGCTCTATTTGCTTTCTATACCAACTTGAAAAGTGTACTTGGATAAGATATGAGGATCACATTGCCGCTGACTGAGCATGCTTAACACGAGTGTGCGCCTGATTATTCAAACGTAACGATCTCTGTGTACACCGAATATGGCACTACATCCATACAACTGTCGTGGGGAGGTGTGCGCAGCTTGACGATATTCCATCCACTGTCGCCAAAACTATGATAAACCATTGTCCACTGCCTCATAAAAATTGTACCAGATATCTTGCTATGACCTGCTTCAAACTGAAAATAGTATGAATAATTAGGCAAAACCTCCCTTAAATTTGTTAGTTGAGTCGCTTCATACTACTGTTTTGTTTCTGAGGCTGACCCAGAATTTTACACATACCACCCTTTTACCCGTTACATTGTATGGTTCGCCCTCCGTTTTTGGTGGATAGCGGAATAATAACCATAGCTTCAGAAAAAGAGATTTTTCGGCTTTGATCGAATACCGGTAATATGCCCTTTGGTTTTCCGGCAGATGGACGGACACAAAAACGCTTACAGGAAACTTCCCAAGACAACCTTTGACAATGTTCAACTTGCACTTCATTCAGCTATGGCCTGATGCCTTCCGAAACACCCGCTGCACGGGATCATTGTGCGTTCATACGCAAGAGCCTTCGCATATAAAAAAACAGTGGTTCCTTACCTCGCTCGACAGTTGACCTCAGAAACATCTCTTAAAGTCGAACTTTTATGACCAATGCGTACCCGATTTATCTACCATCGTAAGGCGTTTTCGTGTAAACAAGACTTCCTTACTTTTCCTCCGGTTATTCTAGGAGTTCGCATCGATGTTCACGCGCGTGTAGGTTCCTGTGTCCCGAGTATAAAGATTTTTTTCTAAAAAATCTTGCAGCAGTGATGAACGAAGGAAATCCCTACTCAGCACTATAGTGACAGTCATTACTGATGCTTAAATCCCATACATTTAGGAAATAAATGTGGAGTGAAAACCGTACCTAAAAAAACAGACCGGAGTGAAATGACCAATACCACTAAAGGCCAAAGGGGCAAAGCTTCTTTGCATTCTTCGCTCGTTTCGCATCATCATTACGGTTCTAGTAATATAGAGTTCTGCACGTGCAGTCAGGCAAAAGGAATATGGTGGGATGTTCGAGCAGCGTGCATTACGGATCAAGTAAGTTCCGAAAAGCAGGGCCATCAATGCGCGGTGGCAGGTCACACTTGAACGTGCAAATGTCAGACATATGAGACTGCTAGCATGATTACAAAAGTCACATGGAGAAGAAACAGTCCAAAGTTGACTCAAGGCTGAGGGACAACGAAATGAGAAATGGACCCCTGGAAGGTAGATCCTGGAATTTGACAGTCGAACTAGTGACTTTGGAGAACGTATTTTAATATATCCTCTTATTTGATCAGAAAGCGCCCATGATTGCATGGGCACACCTGTTTTTATCGGGTGTTCAATTGAAGTCTGTCCATCAGAAAGCCTAACCAAACATTGTCACATCTCGGAGAGAAGCAGACCATCCAAAGTTGAGTCAAAACCGTTGCAGTGGAAGTAAATCAACTGAAAGCTAGAGGTAGGTTCACGGGAAAAGTATTATGTAAAACAACTTCAGGTACAGGAGCACTAGCCAACTTTAATGAATTCCTTAGATAGTTCAAGGGCCGGGTTTCAAGTGCATCCTAATTGCCGTTCGACAGTTTCTTTCGGATAGGGAGTTGGACGGAACCGTTACTATTGCTGTCAAACTCAAAAGTTGATCTCACATGTAAAATCCATTGGCTAGGCATCTTTATGACTACCTCACTACGCGCCACTGCTACGGCATGTCTGTGGGTACCGAAGAGAGGTACCAAAAATATGACGACAAACGAGGGACCATCGACTATCAACATCACCTCCCACTTTGGACAGTTAGCCACTCTTCAAGACCGAAAAATACGCCCACTATATTGTTAAACTGTCTACTGTCGAGGATACTGGGATAAATTTTGTGAGGCTGTAGAAAACTGGGTAAAAAAAGTACTTAAAAACGGGAATTCAGGAAAAAGGCGTCAGAATTATAAGCGGTCCATTTTACGTATACAATAAACGGAGAATTAGTCAGATAAACATTTTGGTTAGGTCAAGAAGATGGACCACGGAAGAGGAAACCTAAACAACAGCTTTGAATTTGAACTCGCGGTTAATCTTGTCCCCTATACATACCATAGACCTCCATCAGCCTGAAAAGTTATACGTTTAGTTAAAATTGGAAGACTCGCTTGGGGAGCGAACATCAGTATAAAGTAAGCTAGAAAACTTACCGGTTTCAACGGCATGATCATTGGTAAAAGGGTTGATGGAATCCACCTCCTATGGGCACACAGATATATTGATTGAGGGTGTCAATCGTAGTGAAAAGGCTTACAGATAGGAACTCTTCTAGCTGTGAATGTAATCCATTGCTCATCCGAACGGTCGACATTTGCCACGGACACAGTTCCTTGTGAATGGAAGAGAATAAAAAGCGAATCACGAGAAATAAGACAGAATCAAACGATGAGATGAACAAACAGACACGCGACATGAAGAGCACACTAAACAACACAGAGATGAACTCCCCGGAAGAATACCTTCCATCGGGCGCGTCCATTTGGTTGAAGCCATGATTTCTCTACAGCAATCAGCTCCACGCGTTGTCCAGATGTTGACCAGCCCAACAGCCCCAAAACTTGTTTCCATAGACGGCAATCAACGTAACTAGCACCAGAAGCATTGTGCCTGGTTTTCCAGGAGGGAGAAATTTGGTGACAGCAATTGAGATAACTTACAGAGTTGCATGCCTCCAGTACCACAAACGAGTTGACGAGCATATAGCTAGACTCGAAATAGGTGCCAGGATTAACTGTTTCCCATGGGTAGCGGTAAGCAGGACAAATCAACTAAACAGTGGGAAAGTGTGTCAAAGCAAATTTCGATAGGCTTTTCGCCTATCTTCGAAGTCTACACAAGCGCCACTTCAAAAGCGGTATAGTGGTATCGCAAGATCAAACACCCACATGTGTCACCACAACTACTTTAAATCTCTTTTTCTGACGGTTACATCACAAGCCACACAGTTTTATACAATCCAGAGTCAAATGGCTACGCCAAACGCATAATTGAACCATATGGAGACCTTCTGTTATCCCACAGGTAGACACTGCCACTCAGACCGTTCCAATCTGGGATTTTTCGCCGTGCATTTCTACCGAATGCACCGAAGACGGTTGCCTAACTGCGTGCCCCTCGATTGGTTCGATCGGAGAGTCTGTAATCCATAAAGGAAACGTTCCTTGTCACCACGCTTCGTGCTTGGTTCACGGCTCGACTGTTGTTACCCTTTAATGTGGGAGGGGAGGCTATTCACCCCCAAAATCCACAACGCTGGACATACTACATGGCAACTCAGGCGGAGAACAAATGAACACTCACTGTCTTGACATGACACCCATATGTAGTTTAATCACCCAACACCTAACTGGTACATCATAACGTATATCACACCTGAACATTCCAGGCCCTTTGGGCCTGCACCCATCCAGATCGACACAATATAGGATATCCCTAGGACTGAGGGGATGGCTGCCAGATGGCGAAACACTCATTTCTACCGTTGAAAGCACTTTGCTCACACGTGTGACGCCCGCCGTCTGACCTATTAAAAAGCTCACGCACGCACAACTACCCGCGCCCACATACGGACCACTATCTCCCTTCCTGTACCCATCTGGTAACGCCAGCATATCGATATCGCCTTCAGGTAAGGCAGCAGCATCAAACACCTCATAGTCGACCAGAGGAAGCAGCAGCAGATTCACATTCCTGTACCTGGTTTACGCCAGCATATCGATATCGCCTTCAGATAAGGCAGCAGCATCAAACACCCCATGGTCGACCAGAGGAAGCAGCAGCAGATTCACCACTGTAGCAAACAATGATTGATAGTAGGTGCTCCAAACAACAGTGGTGCATTTGGCTCAGAAGTTAGGAGTAACCCCGACCACATGATAAGCATTATGTGGCTATGCGGCAGCAACAAAATCAGTCCCACAGTTGGGACACAACATAAAATTGCCACTTGAAACACGCTGTAAAATCATCGATCTGTTCAGGACAGACCCAACCTTGATCGGTGTGAATACTGTGATATTCGATTGGTGAATTTACATTTCTTCAAATTAACAACGCCCCATTCCGTTATTTCAACGATTTGGTTGCACACAACTTGAGTGCAGTTAACTTGATGTGCTAGTTTCGAAAATTTGGAGCATAAAAACTTGAGCTTCATATTCCAATGGGTATATCTAGCCGAGATATTTGGCCCACCTGTGAGTTTCTTTGGTTCCTCGTGACGTGAGGTTGTTGATCCCTCTGATCTCCATTACATATAGACTGCCTGTTCGTGTCATTCCGGTTTAGCTTTCGCGATGAAGCGTCGAGCTCTTCATCCGGAAAACCGGTCATTCCTGAATGATCGTTCTCAAGATTTATCTTCACGGAAGACCTTTACGGTTCCTGAATCTTGACAGATTTGGTCATGAGTTTCTAAGGTCCTTGAAGTTACCTCGGCTGGCTCGTTCAAAATGAACTAGGCATTGGATGATGTCGCTGTCAGTTGGTATGGGTGTTATCAACTGAGAATAATTTGGAATTGTGCAGCCAGCCTTGATTACTGTGCGTCGGTGGTTTAACGTGAAGCGGCCCATGCTTCAGATATTTAGCGAGGGTATAACACCTCCCATCTGTGAATCAACGTGGACAGAAAATACAGCGTAGGGGTATGTGGGTGCCATTTGTAAAACCCCACGAAGTAGCTGCACATCTGAGCTCATTCCTAGGGACGGAGGTTGACGGTCAACGTATCGAGTCGCGTGATTCTTCGGTAGTCTGAGTGTTCCCTCACAGGCTATCAGTATTTAACAGACCCACAGACAATGTGGATCTTAAGAATGAAAAACCAACCACCAGATGTAGAAAGGAAGAGTACCTCCCCAGTCAGGCCAGCCTCCGGGAAGTGTTTCGTTTCCACTAATATATGGACATTATCTTTTTCGGACGTGAAGAAGATCGAACGCACTTAGAGAATTTGTCATCTATTAGGAGGGTTTTTCGGTTTTTGCCAGTGAAACCATTGCTTGCGTAACGATCAAAATCATCTGTTCTTCCCATAGCGCATCGTGGTTGTGATGGTTAGGATGTCCACTGAGTAGCTTGGAAATCATCAATTTGTTAGACTGCATCTCTTAATCACTGTCTTTCGTAGCTATCACGCAGCTTAGGAGTCACGCAGGTTTTCGACGGTTTACGAGAGACGATCTTTCCTCAAGCAATAAATCACTCCCCATGTAACGGACTTTCTAGACTAATGGAAGGTGGTCTATTTGACAAATCTAGGGTAGCGGCCTGTATCGGGAGTCCGCATCGAAGGATTATTAGATGTGCATCAAATCTGCATATCCGACCTAAGGCTGCCGCCTTGACGTGAGACTCGGGCTTGGGTGATGCAGTGAACCCCATATCCTCCCACTGTCTTGTGGGTCATACTTTTGAGTAAAAGGCTCAAGGTGGGGTATCTCACCCAAAACCCGTTCCTCGGCCTGGGCAATCGGGGATTACCATTTGACCGCACAGCTCCGTGTCTACTGATGTGCCTCCCCAACCCCTTCCCACCACACAAGGAGATGTCATTGGGTCACTTGACTGTCGGTTATCTGACCGCATGGCCCTATGCTCCCGCTGCCTATTACCAATAAACAAAATACCACACTTCCACATCCACAAGATCCTTTCTACATAGAAGCCTCTAACGTTGAAACCTTGTACTCGATGCATGCTGTGTCTCGAAACGCGCATATAAGACCCAACCGTGGTCACGCATCTCAGAACGTCAAGGACAAACTCAGGAATTTCACATTTCTCTCTCCGTATTTCCGGTGGTCCAGAAGCGATTACTCATGAAATACATGGTGTCAGAGTTGCACTCAGCCACAGCTGAATTTGCTTTACTGGATTGGACACCAGTGAACAATCATCTTTGCGCATTTCGGTTATCCAGCTCAACCAAGCTCAACACCTCTCGGCATAAAAAGCAGTGCCTGTTTGTAGTATCGGCTTATGTCCCAACGGACCGCAGTTCTAATTCTGAGAATGATGCTTTCTATTGAGAGCTATCCGGGCTCATTCGTCAAGCGAGAAGCACTGACGCTATGATATTTGTGGGCGATATGAGTGTCCAAGTTAATCGTTTCAGCTCCTTGAAATCCCATTGTGGCAGTCTATTCGGAGTCGACGCTTGTCGCACAGACAATGGACAGCAACTCCTCCAATCGTGTGCTGATCATCAATCGTTTCTGGCCAGTACGAAGTTTCAGCATAAACGTTCGCATCGCACAACCTGGAAGTCGTCAACTGCAAATCAACCGTGGACTCAGTTGGATCACGAGGCCATCAGCCACCGATTGAGAGCCGTAATTCAAGACTGTCGTTCCCTTCTGGGGTGCAAAACTTGATTCAGATCACGCCATGATGCGTGTACATCTGAAAAGTTCGTTTTCCCTCAGGCTCTCCAAAGTCAGCAAGAAGCATGCCAATCCACCATCTTCGAGAAACTGCCACAGCTCAACAGTACCAATCCAAGCTACCCCAAAAACTCACCGCAGAAAGCCAATACTGTGGTGGTAATGAGCATGTGGACGAAGCGTGGCAAAGTGTGAAATAAGCTAGGTAAGCGGCGTTCAATGCTGTCTGTCCAACATCTCTGATTGGATGTCAGACCACTGGATGTCGTCGAGAGCACTATCCATGACTGATGCCAGATATATACCAGCAGGCAACGAGTACGATGGCGCGCGAAAATCCCTCAAGCGCCAAATGGTGAAGAGTCTAAAGAAAGACCGAGAGCCCTAAAGGACATCGAATGCTCGGGAAACAGAGAAGGCTTTTGCTACCGGAAGCAGCCGCGCGGTCAGCGAACCTATGAGTGAAAATGTCCGCCCATTAATTCACTCGCAGAGACGTCGACTGGGAAGATGGGCCGAACACTTCGAAGAACAGTTTAGCTGGCCCCCGGCAACATATCCTATGGAGAGAGCACACACGGACAAATGGATTATAAACCTTAATCGCCCGTCAGAAGAAAAAATAAAGTGCGAAATATTAGTATTAAAACATCAGAAGGCACCAGGACCGAACAGTCTGTATCCAGCCCTCTTCAAAGAAGCCGGAGAATCCCTGGTGTTATATCGATCGAAGAGAAGGCGCCTGCAGAATGTGGCATGTCGACAGTTATTCCAGTCTTCAAAAATGGTACGAGGACCCTGTGTGAAAACCATCGTGGCGTCAGCCTAGTGGCTGTGGCATCGAAGGTCCTCTCTGGTCGCACAATTCGACGATTGACTGAACAAGGAAGAGACAGATCCGCGAAAACGAAGCTAGGTTCTGTCCTGCAAGAGAATGCATCGATCATATCTTCACCCTCTGACTGATTCTGGAACAGCGACACTGCTTCTATCAACCAACAATGGTTGTATTCCTTGATATGAAACCTCCCTTTGACTCTGTAAACCACCAGGCACTGTCAGTGTCTATGGAGCAAAAGCGTACCCCATAAAT